TATTTTACTATTTTCTCAATAATTTGGAGTAGTCGAGTAGTAATATATATGGTGGTGGAGAGATGTTTATATTTTTTGCTATTACCGTGTAATAACGGGGTTTTACTGTACAAACTGTTCTCCAATTGGGTCCAAGCGCGGGGACTGACGACAGTCGCCAATAGATCCCTTAGAATGTCAAGAGCAAGTGCGAATCCTCAGTACGAACTGATAGCCACCATTTTATTTGGCAACAAGGTAAGAACTGAACACAGAGAGCATCTAAAACAAATAACACTAATATATTCAAGATTACGTGTGCCACCTTTGGATATACTGTTGTCGGGAAAGGGACAGCACCGAAACTTTGGGGGAAGGTCTCGCGCGAAGCCGACGCTTACGGGGTTCCCGTCTTTCTTGGTCAGTGAAGAAGATCCGTCGTTTCGGGGTTGTCCACCGGGATCTTCGCCCAGAGAACATCTTGTGGAACGCTGAGCTCCATCGAGCTCTCATCATTGATTTTCATCTGCGCACCTTGGATCGTCCACCGCTGGACAGACGGCCAGGTGCACTCAAACGATTACGGTGTGGTCGTGAAGAACGTCATTCCAAGTGAGTGCATGTGGTATGAGTCAAGGCTACTTGAGCTGGAATTAAAACAGTCAACCTGCTCTACGCATAGCCTACTGTATATAAGCTAGTATGGAGCCCATCTCGCCCGAGGCGCAGCGCTACGAGAACGCCTTCTATTCTGCTATGAACTGGCGGTGTCTGTTTAGAACGAAGGATGGCCTCATTGGGATGGGGCCTAGTTGGTTGGAATGTGGGGATTCGGTGATGCTGGTACGCGGTGCCATTTGTTCCCTATGTGTTTAGACATGTTGATGTGGATTTGAGGCTGCAAGTGGAAAGCCTGGGAGATACGCTGGAAGAGTTGGAAGCGCGCCTCTCCGAGTGGAAGACTGGTGCTAAGAAACAACATCGACTCTCTGGCGTCGATACTGAGAGGGAAATTGCATCTTTGAAACAGAAAATCGCTGAGCTTCATGCCCAAGTCGGCAGGAAAGATGCATGGGTGTTGATCGGGGAGGCGTATGTTGAGGGCGTTATGCGAGGGGAGGCTTTGGACAGGGCAGGAGTTGATTCTTTTGAGAGAATTGCTATTGTATGAGACTGGGACTGATATTGCTTCATCTTTTGGCTGCTTTCTAAGGTCCTTCTATCCAATATCTAATATAGTATTGTGCAAGTTAGAAATACGAACTTCTTAATATCCAGCTGGCTCACCTGGGAGCTGGCTCACGTCGTCCTATCACTATGCTACAATCTAGACATAAACCTATACTACAGAATTACTAATTGTAACAGCTACTGTACAGCAACAAAAAACCACCTAGGGACACTATCTACTTCCTTCCGTAACAAAGAGGACCATATGCCTTCCCAGGGAGGCTATTCTGATGCCAGGCCTCACTACCCACACAGGCTGGACAGTAGAAAAGGCTGTCCGGGTCATACTTCTGCTTGATCGAACACAGACGCTTGTAGTTAGCACCGAAGAAATCAGTAGCCCAGTAAGGATCGTTCCGATCGGCCTAAAAGCATATTAGTCTTTGTCAGGATTCCAGAAGATAGGAAGAACTCACCTCGTTCATGTAGCTACCCATTCCCGGGGTCAAAGCCCTCATAGCCCCGCCCTTCTTGTAGGTAATGTCATGCTTGACAGCGTCAGCGTCTGACTCGTCAGCCCAACCCCGGGCTACAACGTTGACCATGTAGGTCGAGCGCCAGGCTGGGTTCACCCCCGAGAAGCGGTCTTTTCCGTCGGTCAGAACCTTTCCACTACCGACCAGCTCCACGCTGTTGATAGTGTACTCCTCCGGAGCCCCGGCAATAGTACCGATCATCTTGCGAAGGAAGGCCCGGTTCTTGGTCAGAGAGTCCTTGTCGAACATCCGAGAAGTCAGCGCAGAGTTCGCCGAGCCAGTGGATTGTTGCGCCCCAGACATGGCCATGTAGTAGGCCGGATACGAGGGGAACTCATACCACTGGACCGAAACAAAAAGCGAGGTGCCGTTGTACTTCTGCAACTTCTGCAGCAGAGGTGCAAATGCTACCTGTGCGTCCTTGCGAGATTTACCCATCGCTGCCACGGCATGGACGTACCCAACCGTCTCGTTGCCGATGATTACCATGGGGCTGTTGAGGGACCAGGTGCCGTACCCGGAGAACCCTGCGTCGGAGATGGCTGGGTACTCGGTGTGGATATCTGTAACTGCTTCCAGAAGGGCATCGGTGCTGTTCCCCAGGGGCAATATGGCGAGCGACTGTGCCACCACTGGTTTTGAAGGGTACGCTTTCATCACTACAGAGGTGACAACGCCGTAGGTGCCACCGCCGCCGCCACGGATCGCAAAGTAGAGGTCGGAGTTCTGGCAAGCGTTGGCAGTTACGGTGGTGCCGTCGGCGAGCATGACTTGCGCTTCGAGGATTTGGTCTGACCCTAGACCGTAATCACGGCTTGCAGGGGAGTGGCCGCCACCTTGGATGTACCCACCGATACAGCCCACAGTCTGTTGCAAATCGTTAGATTAGCTGTGAGCTGCACTATGTCAATATGGGAGTAACCTACAGGGTCTCCTCCACCAACGATGGTCAGGTTACGCTTGAATGCCTCCCGATAGGCGTCCGCCCAGACGTAACCACCTGCGATCGTGAGTGCAGCACCGGTCCACTTTGTGTCCTTACACTGGTCCGATGGCACGTAGTTTTCATGGTAAGTAATTCCTTTCTGGATATACTTGATCCAGATTTGCAGGGCACCGTAGCCCTCAGACCTTGTACCAGGTGAGTTAAAGTCACACTAAATCGCAAGGTATCGTACTTACTTTCCGAGAATGTCATGGCCGGTGTTTCTCACAACAAGACGAATGTTGTTCTTCTTCGCAAACACCATCCCGGCAGCTAGTTCTTCCGGCTCTGTCGCATTGATAGTGTACACAGGAGCCTGTCCCAGGGTACAGTTCCCAGGCTTCTGTCCCGAACTGAGATCCACGGGCGGACAACTGTCATCGGTAGGATAAACGTATCCGACGGGTGACAGAGCCTGCCAGGTTTCATTGGACCATTGGGAATTGACATAAGCGCACTCGGCATCGTCCTGGTCGGGACCTGGATAACAGGAAATGGCAATAGGGGTGTTCTTAATAAGCTTTCCAGATACCGACGCGTTGAGCGCATTCCAGGTGTCGAGAGATGGCCAGCATGAGTCTCCAGGTGTCTGCTGTGTGGTTAGTATCAATTGTCTGAGATGTCGTTCCTCTCAAAGACGCACGCATTTACAGGATCCCTCGGTGTTGGCGTAGGCCAACCCGGCCAGGCCCAATAGTGACCACAGAGTTGAACGCATGGTCAATCGTTCAACCAGAGCTATTGTATGAGATGTTCACGAAGGAGAAGCTGAGCTGCGGTCGGGATTGAATCTAAATAGCTCCCCTATTGGCTACGGGTACGAGCGAAGCGAGGTAACCGGCATGACTTGTGCAAGAATTGTGCATGCGTTCGCTGTGAATCCCTTTTTCGCATGCGCAAGAGAGTCTGATTGGGCAATCCAAGAGTGTTACATTGGTCTGGCCATTAATTAACATCACTTTGGTACTCTCACTGCTACCGAGGTCGGGATGTGCCGCATCCCGGATCATCCCAGGCGTATATTGAATGCTGACTCAAAGTTATTTGCATCTCATTAGCTCCGACAATGTGGCGCATTTTGTCTGATTTATGAAGCCTTGCAGATACATCTAAGTGCCTTGTTCAGAATTGTATGCCTTCATAGATGTGAGACGTGCTGGTGTTTGACTTATGATCACAGCTGTGGCTTTGGCGACATCCCACCTCCGAGAATCTAGGCAAAACCATTCGAACAGTTGACAGCCCTCAGGCCACGTTGGCTCCATCCCAAGTTCCACATGGTACGGTGGATATGCAGGCACGGGAGACTAAAGTTGACGGCAAAGAGCCCGTCCGTTGTCCGTCCCTTCGCTTAGATTTAGTGCCGTTTTCTCCAAATTAAATTTGTTCTGTTAGATTACCATTGAGCGGATTTCTCGTAAAGTTTCCAAAAGAAGAACGATAAGTGTGCGACGGCACCCTATACACTGGCATTGCCCTCAGATTCTATAAGTGAACCATTGGCTTGTGCTCACATTCTGTCTTGTTATATCCCGTGAGATCCACAACCCTAGGGTGGCAGATGGTGTCCGTCGTGGACTCGGGATCACCACGACATGCGCGGTACTTGATTCTGGAGCACACGGCATAATATAGACAACTAATAAGGGGCCCTACGTAGAATGACAGGGATGGCGAAACATTTGGGACACACTATGTTGAGATGGTGAGACTATACGAGCTTTAATAAATTATCGGAACATCTGGGCCCTAGGTCCGCGGTCCTCGCCGCCGCCCACAAACGGCCCCCATATCAGCACGGACCCTGATGGCCTCTGGAGTTGCACCAGCGGCCGATGCTCGGTCTTGGATATGGTCTACTGCAGCCTAGTCGTGTACATTCAGCTCCCTCATCCTCTGATGGGGGAGGGATCCTTGTCCTCCATGCGCATGCGCAGTGAAGGATGACGCCGGTGAACCTATCTAAGATTTGAGTAAATTAACATGTATATCCCAAGTCACACCCATCGTAGGGCCATCACCATGCTTTCCACTTCGCATTGGCACTCTTCTTTATACATTTCACCTTTCCTCCACCTAATGACCCCCATGCGACCAGCATGAGCAGTTTTACTGCTCCCCAAGGCGTAGCAACCCACCTGTCCGCCAATGGCCTCATTGGTGTCACCTGGACAGGTGTGGCACTGGGTGTCGCATTCACTTCGATTCGTATAGCCATCCGCGTGCAGCGCATGAAGCATTTGCTAGCAGACGATTACTTTGTCCTGTTTGGGCTGGCTTTGCTTATCACAAATGCGGTGCTACAGACCATACAAGCGCCACATCTCTACTACATGTCTCTAACCCCCACCGGAGAAGACATCAAATATCATGCCCTGCGCTATGTTCACCTGGAGTTCGTCATTATCGGTCTCTTCTGGTCCATCCTCTGGTGTATCAAGGGCTCCTTCCTGGCCTTGTTCTGGATGATCTCAGACGGGCTCCCGAAGTACCGGCGCGTATGTGCTGCGATCTCCATATTCACATTCTTAGCGTATGTTGGGTGCTGGATTGCGTCGGCACTCAACTGCCACCCTCCGTCGGACTACTTCAGATTCGGTATTTTTTTCGCTTGACATCCGGAATACGAAAGAGAGACTGATCTGTTGACTTGTCAGGAAAATGCACAAAGCCCGCCGATCTCAGAGGCTCCGTTATCTCTATCAGTTATAGTACCGCTGTGGATATCATCACCGATCTGATGAGTACGACTCGCTCCCACATTCTTATTAACCCCATTAATATTAACAATCGCAGTCATGGGTCTCCCCCTCCGCATCCTCGTGAAATCGAAGATCACCAGACAGCAGAAAATCGGCCTGGGCGTCGTATTCTGCGTCGGATTCATCATCATTGCAATAGCAGTCGTGCGCGCAGTCCAAATCACCGGGAAAGCCTACTCGGACCAAGTCAATCTTGCCATATGGAGTATCGCTGAATCATCTATCTGTGCGTCCATTCTCTCTCTCTCTCGTCGAAGGAGCGATCAAGTAGATGCTAATGCAATGTAGCTGTCATAGTCGGCTGCCTCCCGCCCTTCAAATCCTTTATCTCCCGAAACTCGAGCACAAACCAGTATCCCTACGGATCAAGCGGATACGCAGTGAATCACTACGATCGGAGTGCGACATCAGCACGGAAGAAGCGGTCTTTGATAACGAGTTTGAGTGAGGTGCCCCTCCCACTGCACGATATGAAACCATATCGTGACTTGGGGTATGAATCTCACAGACAAAATGTGCACATAACGGGGGGTGTGGATGGGCAGGATAACCCTGGGAATACGTCGTGGTTTAAAACGTCCGACGACGAGCCACGTGGGGAGATCAGGATGGTTAAGGAGTTTGTGAGTTTGATTCTTTCTTTCCTCTTGTTGGGAATACGCTTACTGATGTTTACAGAGTATGGTTTCTTCGAGATGACTTATGTTTCTTTCTGGCGCGTATCATTTGCATATGTGGATGCTGTATATAGACTTTTTTTAAAAGAATATACAAAAACTCTGTCACGCTATGCCTAGTTACCATCAGTCGAGAGAGCGAAACTCAGCTACCTCCCGCTGATTCAAAATTTGCTCCTCTGAAAACCAATCCCCATGCATGCCGTACGGCACACGCTGCGGTAACAGCACCCTCGCGACAATATCTCTCATGTTGCGAGCATCGATTATCCACAGCTCACTGCGCGAGGTTGTTGGTGCGTTACCGCTCGCATCAAGCTGGGCCTCGTCAAACACATACGTAACGAGCCAGCCATCGTCTTCAGAGGTGCCATCCTTACGGGGCACAAATGTGCACTCCTGTGTGTACCATCCATATGGAAGAGCAAACACTTGGATGGGGTCATCCACGTTGTTCGTAGCTAGAATCTCGCTGATAGATCGTTGGTCAACACATCCATTTATCTGAGTTGGTGGTTGGCCTTCGGCCACTTTCAATAAGCGTTGGATGTCTATTTTGACAAGGCAGTCAATCTTGACACTGGATTTCTGTCTCATGACAAAGTTGCCTTCGCTCATGGAACATCCATAGACGAATCGGGCGGCTGTCATCTCTAGATGTCGTGGGACGTGGGGAAATTCGAACGGAATTGCCGACAGCGCCCATTGCTCGGTTATATTGTTAGATCCATCCGCTGGGAACTGGTAGTAATACAACCGACATTCAGGATTCAGATGAGTGGCCTCTGCTGGTGCGTCTAGATCTCCCATATGGTAGAGAGGAGACACGCTGTTCATCCGACAGACAAGCATGTGGACCCGTGTTCCCCAAGGGACACTTTCATCCCAGCTGTTCACGGTATGAAAGATACAACAAGGATCGGTTTCATACCATTGAATCTGAGCGGGACAGTACCTAGGGAAGACCCCAAAACGGGTGCAGCCCTGCGGGTCGTACTGTATGGCGGGCTTATTGCGGGTTATATTCGTCGGATCCAGAGCAAGAGGCATGTCAACCATAATGGTATGCTTGCGCGACACCCCAAAATCATGTATCATTTTTCCGGATGTGAAGCCGGGAACGGGCTGGTTGAGGTATGACCCGTGCTTGCTGGTCCATCCAGGAGATATGATGCTGTAGTGTACAAATGGGAAGATAAACGTCGAATGTAAAAGTAGTAGCTCGCCCGTTTGGTAATCGTTGTGAGGCTGGTATCCTAGGGTTAGTGTCCGTTGATCATAATAAGATGGGGACATACATGGGCTATTGTCATCTCGTTATGGAATCCTTCTATTCCAGGTCCACCGAAAGATGGCCCCCTTATCTCATCAGGGGGCTCTCCCTCGGCTCTGCTCCCTGTAAACCATCCTACCGTGTTTAGAGACGGAAGGTAGACTCTCATTGGTGGACCAGTCTCCATGGTTGCCAACACTCTTCCATCGTGATAGAGAATATTGGTGTTGGCCGTGCTAAGTCTCCGGATTGGGCGGACTACAAGTCCGAGAAAGGAGGCGAGCATCAGCGCCATGGTCCGCAGCATGCCCATAAAGACTTTCAATGGAGATGCCATAGGGCTGACTAGCGTGGTGACGCTTGACACAACCGGATTGATGTGTGGATGCTCCGCCGTTGCGCAGTGCACATCCGTCAGGATATACCGATTCGAATACAACGGCTGCTGCAACTTTGACCCAGGCATGCGCCTGAAGAACACACCAGAGAGCATACCGTCACCATCAAACCAGTGTAGGTCGCGGCGATCATCATCCTGAAGAGAATTGCTGCCGTTGCGGACATATTGCCCTCCAAGGAATTCCTCAGGAATTGTGCCCTGAACCTCGCAGGGATGCGCATGTTGGACAGTGTAGATGGGGGCATAATTTCCGGAGAAGTAGCTATGATAGAGCTGTATTAGAATAATTACTCGTCTTTATATGACTCGTACTTACGGATGTTTGCGACTTTTTTCTTTACCAGTCATGTTGTCGGCTTTGGCGTAGGGAGATGTGCTGCTAGCCTAGGTACAAACCTGACTGATAGAGAAACCAGGCAACCAGTAAGCGGGATATTTAAGGTAAAACACATTTTCGATCAGCATATCGTGGTCGGGCCCGTTTCATGGCATATGAAATCATACTTTATAAAGGCTTGTTTTTTGTAGAGCCCAACTGGGTATGTGCTTGGCACGACTGAACTCTCTCCTGTCCTCTTGGTTTGCTCGGTCACCACGACTTGCCCTTACTGGGCGATACCTCAGGTCCTTCGCTATTAAGCGGTTAATCAGAGCTTTTGTGGGGAAACTATGTATGTAAACGGCTATAGTCTACTGCAAGGGGCGACTAGCTTCGCAAATGTGTTGTCTTCTCGAGAGCACGCTATAAACTAGGAATATCCTAAGCATCTCCCACGAATCTAAGTTACGTTCACTTGAAATTGTCAAATCAAGATCAATTCCATTTGAACCATGGGACTTGACTATATTCTGGTGTGAGTATGCTCTCATCACGTTGTATCGTGGAATTGCTGACTTGACCTTTCAGACATGTCACCTATAATATACCCTTAGCGGGGCTCTTGACACTTGTTTACTGGCCATTCATGACACGTCTGGACTGGCAAAAGATTTCCACCCTCGTCATTGTAGGTATAGTTCCTGTAGACAGGAATAGGGAGCTTACTGTTGAGCTAGATATCTCTCGTCGCTACCATTCCTTGGGACTCGTACTTAGTGCGTCATCGCATCTGGACCTACGCCCCTGATGGGGTTACAGGCTGGACGCTATACGATATCCCTATAGAAGAAGTGTCTTTCTTCATTCTTCAAACTTATAATACCAGCTTGGTATATCTAATTCTAACTCGGAGGCTTGTGTTGCCGATGTACTTGGGTACAGTCGCACGAAAGGAGACTATCATTGGAGCTTTGATACTTCTACTTAATACTTTGTTTGGACTTATCGCATTGCGCTGTGGAGAACAGTTTACTTATATTGGTCTAATTATCACATGGGCTGGTCCATTTTTTCTGATACAATGGTAAGTACCCTTGCATCGCGAACTGGTCGTATCTGACACGAATCTTAGGCTATTGTCATCTGGTTTTATTATGGCACTTCCCAAAATGGAGCTTATGGTATCAGTTACACTTCCCACTCTTTTCCTTTGGACTGTGGACACAATTTCCATCAACCAAGGAGTTTGGACTGTTGAAGTGCCGACCAAACTAGGTATTCAACTGTGGAGTGGTATGGATATAGAGTAAGCCATACCAACGTGAATGACTAGGTTCAGAACATACTGACCAAGCAGGGAGGTGCTCTTCTTCCTCGTCACCAATATGATGATCGTTTTTGGTCTAGTATGTATCGACTATGCCATTGCAATGGCAACCTGTGAACTAGCCCAATCATCGGAAGCACTTCAAAGCTTCCCATCCTATTTCCGTGTCTTCGCACAGTTTGTAACCAACAAATACCATCCAGACGCACTATTCGTGGCTAGTCTGGGAAAGGCAGTTGAGCGCCTCGCAGCCTCCAGCCAGAGCTTGTACATGGGAAGTGCCATGTTTCAAGGACCGCTTCGGGTTGATCTAATCTTGCTGTGAGTAATCACGTACTCCTAGGATAACTTGACGTGATATGTTGACGAGTATTATATGTAGATACTCTTTCTTCCGAGTAGCAGACGACCTAGTCGACGAAGCCCAGGACACCGAAAGTGCACGCAGGGTAATCGAGCAATGCGATCAACTCCTTGAAGCCAAGTTCTCATACCCAGAGCTGTTTCCATTCTCTGAAGAAGCCAAGCACACTGCGCCTCCAGAGCTCATCGCAGCGATTGATAGTCTCCCCGTATCCCGATTGCGGTTGGAGCATCTGAAAGGCCTCCTCAAGGGCTTCCGGACGGACTTGGCCTTCGGCGCGAAATCCGGGTCCTTCCCTATCGTCACAGAATCCGATCTTGACGCATATTCCTATCACGTCGCTAGCACCGTAGCGGCATCCATGCTGGGTCTAGTTGTTCATCACTTTCCGGATCATCAGTTTGCGGTCAACGTTTTTCTTCGTCGTCGGGTGGTGGATGCAGGTGAAAGGATGGGCCAAGCTCTTCAATACACTAATGTGGCCCGTGATATTACTCGCGATGCTGCGATTAACCGGGTATATCTACCCACAACATGGCTAAATGATCAGGGGCTGAGTCCTGCTGATGTACTCGCTTCCTCTACAGATCCTCGGCTGCACTTAGTACGAGATAGAGTACTTGATAGGGCCGACTTTCTCAGTGCTTCAGCTCGAGAAGAGATCAAATTTCTGCCGGAAGAGGTGCAGGGGCCTTTTTACGCGACCGTTGATAGCTATCTGGAGATAGGAGCAGCTTTGAGACGGGGCATGAGGCCAGGAACCCTCGGGGGCAAGTTAAAGCTTCCAATTGGAACACGCTTGTGGGTTGTTTATCGGGCTATGTCCTTGAGACAGTAGTCTGGATTACTTTTCTATTAGATTCTCGGAGTGTGAATTTAGATGTCTCATAGAGAAGTCTTTGAATTGCCTCACCATTTTCATCTTCGTCGTATACCTAATGCTGCTTCCAGAAAACAGACACCACCAGAGCCAACAGAGCCATCACTACTGTCAATATTAACCCCATTCGAGGTTTCTGCTCAATTTCCATGTTCCAATCTTCCACTATTTGCTGAGCGACAAGCTTGCTCCCTAACAGACAAACAGGAACGCCTGTCCCCGGATGCGTGCTGGCTCCAACAAAATAAAGCCGCTCAATGTCCGGATGCTTGGTCTTTGGCCTGAAGCTGAGCACATTAAAGAACGAGTGCGAAAGGCCCAAGATCGCACCACGGTCGAGATTATATTTCTTTTCCCAAGTAAGCGGCGTCTCAACCATTTCGTGAACCAGCTTGAACCGCAAGCCTTGTAACCCCGTGCGAGCCTCGATAGTGTCCAAGATAATTTCGCGTGTTTGAGATACTAGGGTATCCCATTTCTCTTGTTCCAATTGTCCTCCATTTTCCGATGTCAAATGGCCCACGGGGACCAAGACGACAACAGCCTCTTTACCAGGCGGTGCAGCGGTTGAATCGATCTTACTCGGTATATTAACATAAAATGACGGTTCGTCTGGGATACGATGTTCCTCGAAGATGGCATCAAAGCTTCCCCGGTACTCCTCAGCTAGGAAGATATTGTGTGCTCGTAAGTGAGGCAGTTTCTCATCGAAAGACCAGAAAAATGAGATGCTACTGCACGATGTGGGCCTTTTTTTCAGGTCGTTCAACCGGCGTGTCTTTGGAAGGAGTTCGTTGTATGCGTAGACAAGGTCAGCGTTGATCACGACTAAATCAGCATAAAGCTCTTCGCCATCTTCCAGAAGGATGCCTTTTGCGAAGCGATCCCTGTGATTGAGTAGGACAGATTTGACGGGACTGTTGAGGATGTATTCCACTCCGGATCGCTGTCCGATATCTGCTAGAGCTCTTAGGACCTTGTTTAGGTTAGTAGATGAGTGTATTGACGGGATGGAGTGAGCATACTCTTTGGAACCCCCCTCTGGATACCATATTCCATCTACCGTCTCAATATATTGTAGCAGCGAATACGTCGCCGGAGCCCGGTATGGACTCATACCCATGTACATGCTACCAAAAGTCCACACGCGCCGCATCTTCTCTGAATAGAAATATCGCGCAGCTCGAGCGTATGTGCTCGTCCATGGATGGATGAAAATCAGTGATTTCAATACATTCCACCGTAGCAAACTCAGCAACCGAGGGAAACTCTTTCGTAGCATATGCGCAAGTGACAGGTTATAGTGAGTGCCGGCCTCGTTCAAGAAGGCACAGAAACGGGGAAACCCATCCGGACCTTCGTGATGTTGGATCTGCTCCTTCAGGCGTGTGAGATCGGTCGATAACTCGATGATATCCATGTCGGGGAACCAAACACAATAGTTTGGCTCGCATTTGATGAGACGGATATCTTCTTGCTTTAGCGAGGCACCGAGATCCTCGAAGGTCTCTTCGAAGACCTCGCGCATTAACAGCAATGACGGGCCTTGGTCGAAGCGCTTGTGTTGTTAGATACATCATTTCACTTCAGGGTGACATATACATAGCCGTCTTTAGAGATAATGGAGCATCGGCCTCCAATGAATCCGTGTTCTTCTACAACTTTGACACGGAACCCTTGTTGAGCCAGTCGTGCTGCTGTGGCGATCCCTCCGGTGCCAGCACCTGAGACTATTAGTCGGGCCTTGATAAAGTGGTAATAGAAATGGAGAACATAGGTTAGAAGCCAAACTCACCAACAATAATCACGGTGGCCATCGCCACAGATTGAAGGGCTCTGCTGGTTAGCCCGAAGTTTTAGGGAAAGCAATCCTATTTCATGCCGCTCTCTTTCTACGAGAGAAGTGAATGATGTCCTAGTATCTCTAAACAATCCATTTGCTATCTTGTTCTCTCAAGTCAAGTATATGTATGACGTTTTCATCACTATTGAAGCTTTCCAAAATCAAGATTTATGGATGACGGGACTGGCAACCTCTTGCGTCACAAATTATTTTGACTGCATTAATATTCATAATAAGAACTTGAGAGGCTTTTTGGATCAATGCATTGGCAACTGTGGTCATTTCGGACTAACTGATACGGTAGTTACCAAAGAGCTTTTTTAAATGGCCAACTAAGTTGATGCCGCAAGCTGATTCCAAAAGGGGCGGGGAGTTTCATGGAGTTGATGCTAGTCACCCTACCATGCATGCCAACTGGATAATATCGCGTACACCATACCGAAACTACAGTCTACAGCGTAGTTGATGGAACCCTTGTCAAAGATCTAGGATTGAAATGCCTTGGCACAATGATACTGGGGGCCAATAGCTGATGTCTATACATTTGTGTTGTTTTAACAAGGCCACAACTCCTTTTGCAAGCCTGGTATATTGTCTTCTTTGGTAAACCCTAACTTGGACGCAATGCGACATCCAACAGAGTGAGAAATGAGAAGTCTGCGAAGTATCCGGGCTTTCGGGTTGATGTTACCGCGAGGCCCACCCTAATCTAGAATTTCAATCCCCGCACAAGTATCAATTTCATCAAGACAACTTCTTGCAAGGATTATTTTCGTTTTCACCTTGATAACGCCATAATGCTAGAGGCTGACCTGTGCTGGCCTCTGTGGGAGGAGGGCTCAGTGGATGGAGCCTTCAAACTTGAGGCACCAGGAGGCGATCTAGGGCAAGCAGTCATCGCTGAAGTCGAGCGTCCTTTTCTCCTTGGTTACAGTCCAGTCAAGGGCAATGGAAGGGGAGTACTCATTCTTGGAGGCGGCGGCTACGTTCAGCTCATGGTTGGTCGGGAAGGCATCGCGGTTGCGAAATGGCTAGCCAGCCTTGGGTTCTACGCCTTTGTGCTTGTCCACCGGTTTCCCACCGCTCGTACTGGAGCTCAAGCGCCTCTAGATGATGCCAGACGCGCGTTCAAAATGATGGCGGAGTCCGGGCACGCACCGGAGGGACAGGGTATATGCGGCCTCTCTTCTGGAGGTCACCTCGGAGCTGCACTTCTGGCCCAATATCCTCAAGAATGGATATCACCCGATCCAGACATCCCCCAAGCTCAGTTTGCTATTCTTGGATATGGACCAATCTCGACAAACGCTGCCGGCCGTACCATCATTGCAAATAAGCCACCCCTTCCGCCTGCAGAGAAGCAAGCTCTATACGACTCAGTACAGCCAGATGTCCAGCTCAAATCCCCGGCCCCGCCCACATTCATTGTTTATTCCAATAATGACCCGGTTGTCCCTGTCGTCAACGCTTATCGTCTTGCCGAGGGCATAACCAAGAGCGGAGGGTCTGTTGAGCTTCATGTCTTTGCGGATGCGCCTCATGGCTTCGCCATCGACACGGAGAATCTACCTGTTTCTAATTGGCCGTCAATGTGTGAAGCATGGCTTAGGCAACATGGTTGGATAGAGTAGAAGTCATTCAACATAAAGCGCCTCAGACCTTGGCAATCAATTGGGAAAGGCGCTTGAGACAAGGAAATAAAAGGAGACAGCGCTTATTTGTCTCAGGGCTTATGGTGTTATATAAACTGAATCCCTGGCTTCTGTATGAAATAGAAAGTATTGGAGTTCATTGGATTATAAATCTTTATCATATTTCTCTCTTTTAAAGCGTAACATTCCTGTGGTATACATGTGCCTAAGTCTGTTGTTGATTGCCCGTCCAGGCTTCATGCAGCATTTAAATACCTCCAACACAATTTCAATCCTACTACACAGACTTGACAGCATCCATGGTCTTCCAACAAGTCTATAAGGACTGTAACTGAAGATATAATCAACCTCCGTCCCCTGGGTTCGTTCTGAGATAACCTCACTCGCCAGGATCATATAAAGCAGCAAATTGAGCTTTAAGCAGCTAACACATTATTGGTTTAATCAAAAGGTTTTAGTACAGCAAATTACAGATAGTTCGTTTCAGAAGTTTGCTAGCTTCAATTCGGAGTTTTAAGGCTGTTGAACTATATGCCGCCCAATTGGGAAAGGCGGACGCGAATCCGCTGGGCAGACAGGCGGTGTGGAATTCTGCCGCGGACTTATCGATTGTTCTCCCTCGAAACGCTCGAGTCTTGCGCATGCATCACCTTTCATAATATTTCGCATGTCACTCCATCATGTCTCGTTTACCTCCTGACGATAATAGATTTCCGCCGGGTGCTTCCCACCGGCCCTATCCGCGCCGTGACGATAGGGACGGCCGCATGTACGACGACCGTTCGCGCTCGCGCTCTCCTGGCGGTATTACGCTCCTCCCCGCACGATAGCATAGGCGTGGATGCTTGAAGAAAAGCCGTACAGTGTCTCTCTCCGACTCGACAACTGCTAACTGTATTCTCGGGTCAAAAGATCTTCCGCGCTCTCCCCCACGAGGGCCTGCCTCGGACAGAAGACACGATTACCCCAGAGACGGCCCGGATTCCAGACCTCGTTACCACAGTCGGGACCGTGATGACTATCGACGACGCTCGTCTAGATCGCCTCCGCCCCGGCGCGGGAGGCCGGCATACAGAGATCGCGACCGCGAAGGTTATCGCTCGCCCGGATACCACAGTCGGAGCAGAAGTCACAGTCGAAGTCGGAGTCGAAGCCAGCGACGAGGCCGTTACTACGGACAAGAAAGCAGAGAAGTGATGATGGATGGCTTGCCGGTGGACATGACGGAAGAAGACGTTGGAACACTCCTTCCCCCTGAGATTTCATTGCACGTGGAAGCTCAGAGTTGCGCTCCACAATGCACCGTTTTGGTAACAAGAGGCTGAGATGTGCATGTCACCGGTGATTCCGGTCGACGTGTTGAACAGATTACGAATGAACTCAGAGACGGCTATCATATTGAAGGTCTTGAGGAAGTTCGGGTGATTCGTGATCGGCAGACGAGTAAGATTGATGCGCCTTTGATGTAATCCGCGGATGTCCTGACGGTTTGCAGAAATATCCCGACAGCTCGGCTTTCTCCGATTCCGTGACCTCAACTACTCGCGCGTTTTTGTTGAGCGCAATTTTCCGTCCATTTACTTCTACGGTCCTAGCGCTGGTCAGGATGACCGTGGAACCAAAGTCCGCATCGCATATAGCCGGGAGAGAGAGGATCGTGCTCGCGCCAGAGCCGAGGGGGATTGGACTTGCAAGAACGTGCGTAGTACACTACACACTGCCAGAAACGCGGCTAATATGTCTCTATGCAGTGTGCGATAGTCAATTACTCTACACGTTCAAAATGTTTCCGGTGTCAAGCCCCCCGACCTGGTATGTAACTTCACCTCACTGGCTATTATTATCTTGCTAACGAGCACAGAACCCGGTCCGACGGGTCCTCCTGGAATCGCTGCTCCCAAGGTTGAGAATAATGGTGATAATGATGCTGCTCCTGAAAACCAGCCCTCGCAGTTTCTCTTGTTCCGAGGACTGGAGCCCACCGTGACAGAAGAACTTCTCGCCAAAGGAGTTGCTAAACTATACCGACCAGCTAGCAATGCTGAAAATACATCAGGAAATCAGAAGAAAGGGGCTAAAGTGGCTTCCACTACTGGCGATTCAAACCTGGGAGCTCGGGACGGGTCTATCCGCCGTGTGCTGCTAGTACGAGATCGCAAAAGCAATGAAAGCTGGCGTTACGGATTTGCGGAATTTGCAACTATCCAGGTAAGGAACTCGTCCTTCCGATTTCGTATAGTCGTTCTTACGAGACTCTCCAGGATGCTCAAGCGGCTGTTACACGTCTCAACTCGTTCGAGAAGTTCACCATATCATCAAGGCCAGTGCTTGTGAGCTACATTCACGCTGGTGTTTTTGTTCCCGTGATCAATCCCTCGGCGCGTACGGAGAGGTTCACATTCAGCCCTCTCAATAACCCATCCTTAAAGCTAATGTACTGGGATGAGGAGGCTTACGTTACAGAGCTCACAGTGTCGACTGGCGACAGTGACAATAACCAAATGCTGTTGAAGAACGACCAGCCTGACCAGCCAGAAACACAGGGAAAGGCTCATAAAGACACAGACAAAACTAAGAAGAGGAAAGCAGACAACTCAGCCACTGCCGGCGCCAAGAAGCTTGCGATGCCGTCGCATTTGCAATTCTGGAGCAATCGGCACGCAGAGCTACATGGCATTCAGAAGAAGGACCCTGATGACGCCGGAAGTGGCCCGGATCAAGGGGCCTCGGCCATGGATCCTGGCGCTCCACCAGCCCAGTCCTATGCGGACCCCAGTCGGAACTGCTGTTATCTCTGCATGCGCCAATTCAAGAGCTCCGCGGAGGTCAACCGCCACGAACGACTCAGTCAGCTGCACCAGAGTAACTTGCAAGATGAGGAGCTAAAAGCCAAGGCGATGGGGAAGCTTATCAAACATGGTATTGCCCAGCAGACACCGGAGTACCGCGACCGTGCCAGGGAACGCCGACAGGCATTCGGCAGCTCCAAGGCTGCAGCTAAGAAGAGCGCGCCTCCACCAAAGGAGGAAGAAGAACCCCCAGTGGAGTCCACGTCGAAGGGTGCTTCTCTTCTCAGCAAGATGGGATGGTCTGCTGGAACAGGGCTGGGTGCTCAGGGCACTGGCATGACTGCTCCTATTGCCACCGAGGTCTACGCGCAGGGTGTTGGTCTAGGAGCACAGGGAGGCAAATTGGGAGATGCAGTCGAAGAAGCAGGACGCAATACCCGCGGGAGATACGATGAATTCTTGGAAAAGACAAGGCAGACTGCACGGGAGCGCTACGAGCAAATGGAGAAATAGTTGTAATACCTTGTACAATAGCTAACCACAATGAAATTCATGACATCAAGTTCAGACCAGTCGAACACATCCGCATGAAAACTCAAACACAACAATCAAGCAAAATATCTACACCAGAAAACCATATCAATACATTGAATCAAGCAATCAGTCAACATGAATCCTCCTCAAACACCGATCCGACTCGGCCGTAAACGAGCTGCGCGTATGCATCATAGTCACATTATCACTGATCACCCAGTCGCCCTCCTCCCACGAATGCCAATAAGCAACACGACGATCATGAAGCAAAGAATCCAGCATCTGGCATATCTCTGTGGAGTTGGGAACGTCCTGGATCGTGACGTATGTTGGATCAAAGGCCGTTTTCTCTTGAGGCCAAGGCTCATGGTACCGAAGACAGGGTCGGTTGTGAGCAAAGTGAGGCTCGACGAGGGGCAAGTCGGTGATTTTGGCTTCATCGAAGGAAACAGTTCTCACTGTCCAGGACAGCTTTGCGAGCTGTTCCAGCGTGTAGTTTTGGGGAAGGTAGTGCCAGATAAGGTGGGAGGCGCTGAAGAGCGTGAAGCCGGTGTCCTTTGGAGAGGGGGTCATGCCGGTGAAGAATTGGAACCTGGGGTTGGACTTGGTTAGACGAGTTCATGTATATTTTTTTCTTACACAATATATCGCGCAAGGATAGTAAGTAGGGTTGGTTGCACTCACTTGGGCGGACAAGAAACAGTGACTTCTTTCCCATCTGCATCGATCTCCTTCTTAACTTTGAAAAGACCATCATAGTGGAACGGCATCCACTCGGCAGATAGCACGTTGTTGAGACCCTGGGACTCAGACCCGTGGTCTTTGACCTCCAGTATCAAGCCGAATTTCCAGGGCATGGGAGTTCCCATTTCCTCGGCCTTCTTGAGATACAGGTCTCTGTCACGGGTGTCGTTGAAGCCGCGGAGAATCAAGGGGGAGTTCTCCTGGGCTAGTTCACGGATCTTGAGCATGTCCAGGTGCGTAACTGACATGTTATTCTCTGTGGGTCGGATGATCAGGCCACAAGGGTATTGCGGCTCGATCTCCACCGGCTCAGACCAGGTGTACAGGTCCGATTTGACGCGGTAGTACCATGGTCTTCCGTTCTTATGTACTAACTCCACGTCGTCGCGGCTATCGAATACCTCGCGCATGCCGTACTCGATTCGTCCGTCGACGGTGAAGCATGGAGAGGAGTGCCAGGGCGTCACGGCATGGAGAGCCAGTGGCAACACCTTGATTGAGATCTTAGTAGATCCGGCGGATGGATGAATCGATAGACGGATATGGTCTGCGTAGTTCTTCCGAATTGCCTCTGCAAAGGCCTAGTGGGGAAATCAAAGTCAGTCGGACTTGCGCTATCCTTTCGGTGTGTCAGGACACAACGACCTACCTTGCCACGGACGATCATCTCCTTGGCGATCGACTCGAGCTTTTGCTTGTGGGAGCGCTTCGAAACGCTTCCATCATCGACAAACGTGTGCTCCAGGTCCTTGGTGAGGAACTTGATATAGCCACGATAGGTCGCGCACACATCCTTGTCCTCCCTGATACTGGCGGCACAGTCGTAGTCCAGGGGTGTGTAGTTCTCCACCAATCTCTGTCGGAAGGTTCCTGCAAGGCTCACGTAGGTAGATGCATCAAGGGGCATGTCTTCGTGCACGTGGAGGAGGTGCTGGAGTCTAATGAATTGGATGTGCTTGTATTCCTGGTCGGAGACGAGTTGTCGAAGAGATTGTCCGTATGCGTAGACTTCTGAATCGGGCACTCCTAGGAGGTCTACTTTCGTCAGCCTTGACATCGTCTAGGTAGGAAATACTTCCTCATGAATGCGCGTACCGTTGTATACAAGACCATCAGAGGCAATGGTCAATATAGCACCAGGCTCATAGACATCCGTAATCGCCGCGCACAGGCCATTTAGGTGTGACAAGGCAGTCTCTTCTCCCTTATCTGGCAAGGCACCCAGGACCTTGTTGTTGCGGTTTGGAGACTTGAATGGAAAGGCCGGGAGGATCAATTGAATCGCCTGCTGAGCCTTCACTCGCGAATAGATGAGAGGGAGAAACTTCAGGGTTCCTTCATCGCTGCGATCCTGTACGGATTCGGGAACGGGTGCGCGATAACGATAGATGACGTTCAAGATTTCCGTGGCTTTTTGGAGTGCCTTTGCATCGAAGACAATGGACTCGACGGGGGATAGTGACGAGAAGCTCGTCGGGGCGAGTGGAGTCTGAACTGCTGCTGCGCTCATGTTGTTCTCTTAGGAAGTGTAAGTGAAAATGCAAGACTAGTTGATTAACCTGTCCCTCCTTGAGGTGATCGCGGCATCATGGTGCGAAAGAGATATATTTATACTCCTGCGAGTGACGGTCACTTAGCCAAGGACGATTCGATGCAATAAAACGCATGTTTACTGACAAAATTAACAGAAGTTAGTCAACCCTTGCCAATCAGATCGACTGGAGTAGCCTTCCATGGAGCACGGACTGATTATCATATGATGAGGGCTTCCTGCAGCCCTGCCCTGACCCTTCAACGAGATTACAGCGGGATTTTCCGCGCTGCTCAGGTAATCCAGTAGCGTCTGAACTAGACAACCCTGGGGCTCCCACTAGGTAGAGCTTTGCATCCTGAAGAATGAACCAAGCACTGCCGTAAGCCAATTAGCTTCGAGGCAGACCCCACACCAGTATAGCTTCTACGATTCGATTCAGGCCCCGAGTGGATATGCTATATCAAGATACCGTCCCGAGAGCGTTTACTACAGAGCACTGCCTCATGATTCCATCCCGACATTCCGGCAAGCCGTGGTACGATCTATGAGAACGGGATTTGAAGCTGTTGCACAGCCTGCCAGACGTATGGATCCTGCCGTCGTAAAAGGCAGTGTAGACGGCATCGAGATCTAGAAGGCCTTATTGAAGGGGTGTACCCCGGACCGTGGTAGCATTCCAGGCACCCGTACCGTCTCGCCAAGCGCCGAAAGACTCGGGATGTTGGGTCTTGGCACGGTCCTCCTCTGAGGCATTAGATGAGCGGTGTCATCTTTAGATAGTGAGCGATATAATGCATATCGCGAGCTGGGACGGACCTGTTTCAGTGGAACTACCATGGCTTCAAGCTGAAGTGGCGGATCATTACTTTTCCCAGCATGGCAAGCCGGAAGAGCGCATATCCACCGTGTTAGCTTTGCTAGCTTCGTTAGGCTGGACTAAGGCATGCGCCGTAGGTGTGGCAAAGCCTTGGGTTAATATAATCTATAGTATTGCGATCGTAGGAGCCCGACGGTCTCCAACCGGGACTACTGCTCTGCTATCGAGTAGGGTACGGAGGGACTGCCCTCAGGGAGTTTAGCCCTAAAGCCCTGCGTTCAACGGGTGTCTTTAGCGCGTAGTCTAACGTGACCGAGCCTTTCCGCTAAGCTTTAGTGCCCGTCAACCCCAAATTTAATGCAACCTCTGCTCCACTTGGCTCACGCCTGCAATCTCTGCTTCAGATTTTGCAGTCGGGAGATTTCTCCCGGCCCCGGGTCTCGACACGACAATGGTCCGTGGCGAACCCCTGACAGTTGACGTCTCATGTCCGCCACAGTCGAATTCTGCCCAATTCTGTATCATTCCTGCGTCCAGAGTCCAGACAGTGGCCAAGATCGCCAAGGAAGACCGAGACGATGAGCACAGCCAGGGTCAGACCCACCAGGACCATCGATGCCAGAGAAGAACAGCCGAAGGGAGCTTTAATTACCTAATTAGACTTTGCAATGAAACGATTAGTTCACTACCGGGTGATTTGGACATTTGTCATCACAGGCCACATCTCATCAGATAAGACAATCCACTAGCGGAATACCGCCGCGGTCGTAGCCCTGCAGGGGCTTGAGATTAGCTGATCCATCTGCTGGGCTGTTCGCTGGGTGTCTCGCGTGGCCTAATGCCGATGCCCAGCCCTGTAGATGTAGTACGTATATCGTCGTGTTTCCCAGATTCAGGAAAGATGAACCACCCTGGCGCATATCATACGATCCTTCTCGTTCCAGACTCTTGGGTGCTGCTCTTAAATCGTCTCGATTTCCTTCTGTTTGGAGCATCTCACTAGCGCAATAGTCGTGCAAATTCACAATGGAGAACAACTCATCAACATTCGACGTCGATCTGGTTATCGTCGGTGGCGGCCCAACAGGTTTACTGTCGGCCGTTCTTGCCAGAGCCCTGGGACTCTCAGTGTACATCATCGGTGAGCAGTCTCTACACACTGAGTTAACATGCCAATGAGTCGAAGTCAAGCATGCTAACTAGCTCTGATCTCAGATGCCAAGGATGGCGCCTTGAAACTCGGCCGCGCAGATGCCCTAAACGCCAGAACCCAACAATACCTCGAAGTGACGAAAACCTTGCCCTTCCTCGAGCCCTTTGGCTTGAAATGCAACAGTGCGTTAATTCCAGCCTCAGCGAGAAATTCAATTTGATTAACACCCACCCTTAGCAAGCTCAACATTCGAAGCGGGACAGTTTACCTCTCAACAAAACCAATGGTGGACATCGCTGAAACACACCCATCGTCCCAACTTCCTCATGATCGGCCAGTCACAGGTTGAGGAGGCTCTCCTTCACCAACTTGACATCCCGGTCGACTATAACTCGCAGGTCAATGGCATCGAAGAGACCACATCCGGCGTTGTGGTGACGACAGACAAGGGAAGGACGATAGCAGCCAAGTATGCTATTGCGGCAGACGGGGCGCGCTCGTTCGTGCGCACCACCCTGGGGATACCCTTTACTGGAACTAAGCCCGAGATGGTCTGGGCCGTTCTGGACACCTTTATTGAGACGGACTTTCCGTCCTGCCCTGAGATCATTACCTTTCAGAAGGATGGACAATCGCGCGTTGCGTGGATCCCTCGGTAAGTCGTCAGAGTTCGTCGACCGACCATTAGTCTAACTATGCATGTAGCGAACGCGGTATGAACCGCTTCTACA